TTCAATTATTAATACACCAAACGGCATATTATCATTTCAAGTTCACTTTGAAGATTTTAATGAAAAGGAGTTAACATCTGATTAGAGAAGAAAGTAAGAAAGTAAGAGACAACAGGGGAGTACAAAAGACCTCAGATATTACTCCTAGAATAATGAAAGAATCTGAGCCTATAGACAGAAATTGGGAAATTAGGACTAAGAATCAACTTCAGAGAGTAAGATGGAGTGATTAATTTTAACAAGAAAGTAGAGGAAGAGAGGACATTTGAAGATAAAGAGGAGATAGTTTGACTTGATGAAGAGGGAAATTGAAATAGTTTTCTCTGAGTAGTTTGAATTTTCTCAGTAGAGTGATGAGAGTCAAATGGAGATGACAGGGGAAGGTTTGAAATGGCCTTGTTAGAAATATGAGGAGAAGTTTGGTTTTTCGTTTGTTTTGTTTTGTTTTTTAAAGGAGGATAAAAGCATAAAGTGCAACTACGTAGGTCCAAGTAAGATTAGGAATAGTATGAGATTATAGGGGACAGCCATGAAAGAAGAAAGCCAGCACTGAGGATTCCCTAGTCTGGGGACTAGAATGGCAAGTGTAACACAAAGACACAGAAACAAAAGATTCTGTGATACTGGGAAGGAGCATTGAAACTGCCCATGGAGTCCTGCTGATTAGGTGAGCAGGGTCAAGAGACTCTGGGATAAATATAGAGATTTGTTAGAGGCTGTGGTCAGAATAGGGATTGCTAAAATTACAAGATGTCTGAGTGCAAACTTAGCAGAAATATTAAGATATTTAGTTCAGGTTCATTTTCAGTCAGGTCATTTCAAGACTTTTGCCATTGTCTTATCTGAGAAATCTTGACTTGAATAAATCTCTAGCATTTCACACTTTCCTTTGTTGCTAATATCATATTTTCCTCTTGGCATATGATTTATAATTGCATTTTCATTTTATGTCGTCTTTGTGTATGCGTGCTTTTATTATAATACAATTTAATTTTTTTAAAACAGACAAGATATAAAATGTAAATTTTTTGGGGGGGGACAAATAAAAACTTCTAATATGTGCTCACCATCACCTCTATTCATTAAAATAACTAATATTCTTTTCTTATTTCTAGATTGTGAAAGATGCATACCAAGAAAAGACAGCCACAGTTTATCCTGAACCCCAGAACAAGGAAGAATTTGTTCGTTCTCAGATGTATAGCACTGATTATGACCAGGTTCTACCTGATTGTTATTCTTGGCCTGAAGAGGCTCAGAAAATACAGACCAAACTTGACCAGTAGCCTAATAGCAGACATTTATAACTCCATTAATGAGATCTTGAAGTCTTTCGTAATTTTTAAAGATTGGAATCTTTTATAATGATTTATAATATGCTAGGTTAAGATAATTTTACTAACAAAATCTAAAATTTTATGGAAAAACATTAATATACTTTAGGATAAATATCACACTAAACAGTTTTGCTTCATTTACTTTCTGGTTATTTATGGTTTCTATCTTATTTTGCCCAAGTTCTCTTTAAAAGCTGTTATACCTACTACTGAGAAATTCATCATTTTTATATAGGGAACTATTGGGAAGACCAAAATTAGTAATAAATTAATATGATTAAAATTAAAACCCATAATTCTTTTGTTGACCATTTTGTTAAAAATCTACTTTAAAAAATGAAAACAGAAATGAATTTAGGCATAGATTAACTTTTTTCTAAAAATAGAAACACTTTTTCTAAAAACAGAAACACTTTGTTGCCTAGAGAAAAGCACTTCTCAGGTACTTTTATTCCAATCTTAGATTGTATTTGTGTGTGTGTTGTGTGTGTGTGTGTGCATGCGTGTGTGCAACCAAATTCTAACATTTCTAAAAAAGATCATTGCAGTTTATAATGCCTTATGCAAACCTAGATTTTAATATCCTTTAACCATTGTTACATCTTATTATCACCTTGCCTCAGTTAGAATCTCTTTTAACAACACCTTTCTTTCCCCCTGACTAAGTGCCCTGTCCTTCTGCTCCACACTACTGTTGGGGGCCTTTGTGCACTTTGGCTCCTGTCCTGAGGTAGGTACTTTCAGTTCAGCACAGCTTGAGCAATGGGAATTGCTGAGAGGAGAGTAGGTAAGCTCCTTGAGAAAAGGCTGTCTGTGGAGTCAACCCCTGAGGACAAGGAAGTCCGGGGTAAGGAGCAAGAATATGGTTCCCAGACAAGCTGGTTCCCACCTGAGTGGCCTGTTGATTCGCTCAAGTAATTAAGAGCTCATTGTGTTGTTAAAATAAACACATTTTCCTCTGAGTTTGGAAAAAGTTTTGTAACCACTTACCTGCTATCAGAAATTATCTTTACGTCAGTTATTAAAATATTTAAATTACCATTAGTAGATACAGCCCAGAAATTCATCTTAACTTCAAGTTTTACTTTAGAAATTAATTATTGAACCAAAGGAAATGATTATACATTCTTAAGCTCAGGTACAATAACATCTGCTATTTATTTGTAGAATTATTCAGAGAATTTTATGTATTTGAAAAAATGTTCAAGGTAAATTATACTTTAAAATAATTTTCTTGAAAGTCGAAATTTTCAATAATTGAATATAAGGGGTGGGTTATTTCTGAAGGTTAACATTAGGACAAGAATTTCCTCAATAAGTTATTTTGAAGAGGCCCGGTATGCCTGTTTCTTGTCTGTTTCTATGTTGTCTTATAACTCTAACTATATGTATTTATCTGTGCGAAAGATTTATTAAAGCATAGAGAAAGCAAATGGATAAACTTATAAAATCATTGTCTTTTTCTCTTAAAATATTGTTATATTTGAAAATGATAATGCTGGGTCTTGGTGATCATGTGACAGGATATTATGAATTCAAAAATATTATAATAGTTCATTTCAGTATAAACTTGTTTTATGTTATTTTTTTCATACTTAGTCTCCAAAATCCAGATATTTGCATATACAGCAGTCATTAGAAAATATAGAACAATGGAATAGAACGGAAAGCTCACAGACAGACCTACCGAATATATGAGTTACAAAGGAAGCAAAACAGTCAACAAAGAATAGAGTGTTTAGTAAAAGGATTGGGAAAATTAACCCGGAATAAATTAAAACTGGAAGCCTACCCTTACACTGTATAAAATAGTAAACTTCAGATGGATTAAAGTCCTAAGTATGAATGGTAAAATATAAAGCTAATAACTATTGTAGCAAATATCTTTGGGACCTCAAAAACACAAACATGAGGTAAAAAATTTGATGGAATGATTTATCTGAGGACAAGAAGGTTTTGGCTGATAAATGGCTGCTGCCATAAAACAGTGTAAAGGGTAAAGAAATACAGGACTGTGGCATGGGCTGGTTGCTGTACAAAGATAGGGTCATAAAGGAAGAGATAATTTAGACTCAAAGGCTTAAATTTTAAATTCTCAGATCAAGGTACAATATGAAAACTAGAAAAATGTCTATGTTTTTGCTAAAAGACTGTCTTCTCTCTTACTAGCTGTAAGGCTGAAATAACAAAACCAAGGTCATACTTAACCTTCTGGTGCCAAATTATACCAGGAGTTGCATTCACAGCCTCACGGGCCTCTTATATAAAAGTTAAGAATATTGACCAGGAAACAGTAGGACTGTGATTTAGGACTTGTGACACTCTAAACTAGATGAACAATAGCTCAGGTTCGAGTACTGAAGTCCTGTGTCCCAGGAAACCCTGCAAGCCCAGGCAAACTAGAACACTTGACATGTCCTCCCTCGCTAATCAAAGCAGGAGCACTTCCTGTCTAAAGAGGTCATTATTGCCTGCCTTGAAGATCTGTAATGACTTCATTCAGTTTACCTTCTGCCTCTCCCACATTACTTTTCCTTATCTCTGCACACACAATATCAGATTCCAGCATGGAGAGAATCTGTGGTGGATAGAATTAAGAAGGCAATCCCAGGAGAAGACTCCCACCAAAAGAATTCTAGACTGCTCATTTATATTGGCAAAATCTGAGGAAAATGTATAGGATTCTGAAAATGTACTGAGGAAGAAGTGTAATTTGGGATCGGGTGGATTGAGTGATGGGGTACACTTGCCACAGGTTCTGGATTCAGTGTGCTGCCTTGAGCAGTTGAAAGCGATTCTACTTGTTGGTTCAGTTAGTTGCCTGAAATGTAGACTTAATAGTAGCCCACATTGAATAAAATTGAGAATGCAAACATTCCTTGAAATAATACAAAGGAATATGAAGGTTTACAAAGATAAGAATGTTGGAGAGCGCGTTTGTTGTGTGCAGTCAGACTGCTGATCCTAATGGTTCCTTAACAGCATCCATGAAAAACATTTTTTTATTATTTTTTTATTTTTAATTCTCTAATGTCACCACATATTTGACCCCTTTTACTCCATCTACCTCCCACCTCCCCACCCCCCTCTTATTGTGGTATATATATACAATGGAATATTACTCAGCCTTAAGAAGAGATGAATTACTACCATTTGCGACATGGATGGACCTTAAGATAATCATGCTAAGTGAAATAAGTTAGACAGAAAAAGTTGAAACCCACATGCTATCAGTTATATGTGGGATATAAACCTAAAAGCAACAAACGAATAGGACAAACAAACAGACTCATGGACATGGACAATAGACTAGTGGTTACCAGCGGGGATGTGGGGGGACGAACATAGTTTTTAAATTGAGGTATAATTAATACGTAACATTATATTAGTTTCAGATGTAAAACATGATTCAATATTTGTATATATTGTAAAATGATCACCACAATAAGTCTAGTTCACATTTGTCACCATACATAGTTACAAAACTTTTTTTCTTGTGATGAGAACTTTTGAGATTTAGCAACTTTCAAATACACAATACAGTATTGTTAACTATAGTCACCATGCTGTACATTACATCTCATGGTTATTTTATAACGAAATATGTATGTGTCCTCCCCATATCCCCTCCCACCTTTGGCAACCACCTGTCTGTTCTCTGTTTATATGAGCTTAATGTTGTTTATTTGTTTGTCTGTTTTAGATTTCACATGTAAGTTTCACTTACCATAATGCCTATTCACCTGTTTGTTGTTAGAAATTTAGTTTGTTTCCATGTCTTGCCTATTGTAAATAATGCTGCGATGAACATGGAGCCCATATATCTGTACGAATTAGTATTTCATTTTCTTCAGATAAATACCCAGAAATAGAATTGCTGGATCATATAGTAGTTTCTATTTAATAATTTTTGAGGAAACTCCATGTTATTTTCCATAGTGGCTCCACCAATTTACATGCCCATCGTAGTACAAAAGGGTTCCCTTTTCTTCACATCCATGCCAACACTTATTATTTCTTGCCATTTTGATAATAGCTATTCTAACAGGTGTGAGGTGATATCTCATTGTGGTTTTGATTTGCTTTTCCCTGATTAGTGATGTAGCATCTTTTCATATACTTGTTGGCCATCTGTATATATTCTTTTAAATAATGTCTATTTAGGTCCTCTGTCTATTTTTTAATTGGGTTGTTTTTCAGTTATTGGGCTGTACGAGTTCTTTTATATTTTGGATATTAGCTCCTTATCAGATATATGACTTGCAAATATTTTCTTCCATTCGGTAGATTGTCTTTTCATTTTGTTGAGGGTTGCCTTTACTATGCAGAGCTTTTCAGTTTGATGTAGTCCCTGCTTCTTTATCTTTTTTTGTTGCCTTTGCTCTTTATCTTTTTTTTGTTGCCTTTGCTCTCAGTGTCAAATCCAAAGAATCACTGCCAAGATCTAGGTCAAGTAGCTTACTGCTTATGTTTTTCTTCTAGAAGTTTTATGATTTCAGGTTTTTCGTTCAACTCTTTAGTCCGTTTTGAGTTAATTTTTGTGTGTGGTGTAAGGTAGTAGTCCAGTTTTATTCTTTTGCATGTGGCTGTCTAGTTTTCCCAGCAACATTTATTGAAGAGACCGTTCTTTCCCCATTGTATATTCTTGGCTCTTTTGTCATAAATTAATTGACCATATATGTGTGGGTTTATTTCTGGGATCTCTATTCTGTTCCATTGATCTGTGTGTCTTTTTATGCCAAAACCACTGTTTGATTACTGTAGCTTTGTAGCATAGTTTGAAATCAAGATGTGTGATGCCCCAACTGTGTTCTATTTTAGAGTTGCTTTGGCTATTCGGGGTTTTTTTGTGGTTCTATACAAATTTTATAATTGGTTGTTCTATTTCTGTGAAAAATGCTACTGGAATTTTGATAGAGATCATATTGAATCTGTAGATTACTCTGGGTTGTAAATAATGAATAATTAGTTAATTAGTATTGCTAATGTTAGTTCTTCCAATTGGTGAGCATGGAGTAGCTTTCCATTTATTTGTGTCTTCTTCACTTTCTTTCATCAGTGTCTTATCATTTTCACTCTACAGGTGTTTCACCTTGTTTAAAATTTTTCTTAGGCATTTTATTATTTTTGATGCAATTATAAATAGGACAGTTTCTTAATTTATCTTATAGTTTATTACTGTATATAAATGCAACAGATTTTCGTATATTGATTTTGTATTCTGTAACTTTACTACATTTGTTTATTAGTTCTAGCAGTTTGGGGGCAGTCTTTAGGATTTTCTCTGTATAATATTATGTCATCTGCCAATAGAGGCAGTTTTACTTCTTCATTTTCAGTTTGGATGCCTTTATTTCTTTTTGTTGCCTAATTGCTCTGGCTAGGACATTAAATACTATATTGAATAAAAGTGGCAAGAGTGAGCATCCTTGTCTTGTTTCTGATCTTAGAAGAAAAGCTTTCAGCTTTTTACCACTGAGTATGATATTAGCTGTCTGTCATATATGGCCTTTATTATGTTGATGTAAGTTTCCTCTGTACCCACTTTCTTGAATGTTTTTTTCATAAATGGATGTTGAATTTTGTCAGTGCTTTTTATGCATCTACTGAGATGATCGTATAAATGTTTGTCCTTCATTTCGTTAATGTGGTGTATCACTTTGGTTAATTTGCTGATGTTGAACCATCCTTGCATCCTAGGAATAAATCTCACTTGATCATGGTGTATGAACCTTTTCATGTATTATTGAATTTGGTTTGCTAATATTTGTTGAGGACAGGAAAGGTATTTTAATGACTCTGTAAGCTGGAGAGGCTTGTGGGAATGCTGTGGTTAAAATGAGCTCTCTATTTCAATGGATGGAGCAGAATCTTGGGGTTGTTAGAGACTTAATAGCAGCACTTTGCAGCAATTAACAGCTGAGACAAGGTGGAAACAATTATCATAATAGAAGTAGATCTACTGTGCTTAGAATAGTTTGGTCTAAAAACATCTTTGCTAGTGGCCCCATGGCCTGATTTGATGTTGAAAAATTTAACTAGGACAGCACAGGTACTGGCCAAGAAAAATGGATGCCACTATATACAACTGATACAGCCACACCAGTGTATATCCGCTGGATATCAGGTTGGCTTAGGATCAAATATGTTGGCAACCCACATAGGTCTACTTGATATGTACAACAACAACAGCAAAAATGCCTGACTACAGCACCAAAATAGAGTGTCATGGCTCTCACCAAGTTGCTGAGCACAGATATGAATGAAAGACCCTGAAGAGGAAGAATTCTGAAATATAAATGTTTCCAAAATCTTCCATTTACTAGGATAACTGCATTGCAGAAGGGAAACCATTAAGCCTTTTGGAAATCATCTGGCAACAGTCTGAACAAATACAAATTTCTAGGGTCTCTGAAACCATTGTGTCTATGGGACAAAGTATGCGATAGCAATAAATCCATCCTCTTGTTATTCTCCCAGTGAAGAGTTAGAATTGATTTCTTTGTCCTCTATGTGAATATCCCCACATTGGATCTCTGATGTGTGTAAAAAAGGGTTATTCTGGCAGAAAGTACCAAATGATCTGCAGAGATAAGTCCTACCATCAAAAGCTTTAAAATAAGCAGGGGTGTGATTCTTACCACATCTTGAATTAACATAATCTTTAGCATGTGCAAAAGACAGATGGATCTTTAAGAATGACAGCATATATTCAATATTCTAATCAGATGGTGATCCCAACTGCAGCTGCTGTCAGACAAGTTCTCTTTCTTGGAGCAAATCAGTTACTGATTTGACCAAGGCTTTTTTGATTTTCATTTATTCCAGTAAGTAGTGGGCCCTGAAGCAGTTTGTGCTATAGCACAACATTACAGATTGTCTTTTGTCAGTGTTTCATTAACTCTTTGACTCTGTGCTAGAACATAATTCTTGATTCCAGACCTTGATCATCTCATCATCTTATAGGGCATAATGCTGCTCTGAAACATTGATGATGCTACTATGCTCATAGGACCTGGAACACAGGTGTCATTAAGTTCTCTGGATACCTGCTAAGCTAAGAACATAACTCCCAAAGCACAAAAAGAGTCTGACAAATTCGTGGAGGTCCAATGTCTGGTGCATGTTGGAATGTCCCCATGATAGGGAAGAACAAATTGTGTACTTTGTTCTACCTATGACTAAGGAGGAAACTCAGTGTTTGGTGGGCTTCTTAGTTTTGTGTGTTTTACTCAGAGTCATTTATGGGTGATCCAAATGCTGCTAGCTTTTACTGGGCTCAGAAAAAGAAAGGCCTCTCCAGTTAGTCCAGGCTGCTGTGAGAGTAGTTCTACCATTTGGACTTTATGCGGGAGATTCATCCAATGGGCTCAGTTTTGAGGCAAATCAGGATTCTGTATGAAACCAGGATTTTTGATTAAACCTGTTTTTTTCAACTTATAATAGGCTACTTGAGGTAAAAGCAAATGAATGAAAATTGTTCTGTTTAAAAGGGTTCTGTGAAGACCTCAGATTGGCTTCCTCAGGGCCTTCTCAAGTTCTCAGAAGGGATGGATGTCACGTAAGCAGCCATATATGGAAACTCAAGTTCACAAGCAACGTATTTCTGATTTAGTATAGGGATGTTTTAGAGTCCTTGTGTTACGGTTTACCAAGTCATCTGACCCATTCTTCAATCCATTATTAAGTCTCCTCAGCCCTTAGCCTAACAGATAATAGACCAATGAGGAACGAAAAGCCAAGAACACATTTGAAGAAATGCTGATTTAATTCAGTGAGGTTTAAAAAGACACTACAACATTTATAATGAGCATTCTTTCCAGATAACCTTTTTTAAAATATAATGTACATATACAGTGTCAGGATTCTTCGGTTTCAAGTAATAGAGACTGATTCTGACTTTCAAGAAGAAAAGGGCAGATATCGGGTGGCTCCAAGGAGCAGTTGAACACCCAAGCATTCGGTAGGCCAGGAACAAGGGCAGCACTATAGGTCTAATCTCTACATGTGGTTTAGGCACATATGAAGCAGCAGGAGCTCAAAGGGAGACCACCAGTGATACTAATCACTTCTCTCAAACCATACAGAGAAGGAGTAGTTCCCCAAAGTTTGTGTGTGTGTGTGTGTGTGTGTGTGTGTTTGGGGGGATGTGATGAGAGAGTGCTGTGTGTTCATATCAAGCTGAGCAACAAAACTAGCAATCTATCGTACATATGTAGCTGAGCTTTGAATTATCAAATATGTATATTTTTCCCTAAAAAACCTATACTTCTCCCATAATTAATATCTATTATTAGTATTTCTGATAGGAATAAAGAATTGCCGCATGCTTATATGGGCATGTAAAAGTAGGTTCTGAAAATTTTCAGAAAAAGCTCAAAAGCAGAAAAGAGTTCATAAACTAAAATTTATTCCTTTCATTTGAGTTTTGTAAATAATCTTTTTTTGTTCCAGTTTTTAGTTCAAGCTTATTTATCTTTCTGTTGCTACTTTTGCCTATTTAATCGTAGGGAAAAAACCTCTATGAGTGCTTTAGGCACATGTTAGGTAGACATACTGTCTCATTTCAAAGGAAAAAAAATAATGGAGGTACATCTGTTTAGAGCTTAAAAACTCTTGAATGTTAATTATGCTTACTGATGGTCTTGGGGAGATCATGTAGGAAAATGACTCCTATACTACATTGTTTACAGTCCATGTAAGTCCTATTCCTTTCCTTTGTTTATAAGTAAAATGCGAGGCCCCAGTTTGAGTTCCAGCCATATCCAGTGCTAGGATTAAAATACATATGGGCAAGCTGGAAGATCTGGCAAGATGGGCCCATGACAGAGCTGAGTTGTGGCATGAAAGGAAACTCATTCTGAACTAAGAGCACAAGCAAGACAGAGTAGACCCTGTTCAAAGGCCTCAAGGTCAGGAGAGTTGCTTAGTGTTGGGTCTACTATTCCATATGTTTTCGCCCCAAGGACACGTGTCTGCATTGTAGACGCAGTAAAACCAGAATGTACTGTTTCATCAAAAATTCTGTAAGCTCCCCAGTGCACACAGCAATTATCATCCAACAAAGTATCACAAAATGGGGAGGGAGG